GAAAATCAAAAATAGAAAACCTAAACTGGATTTCAAACCAAGTTATTTCACGACGTTTCGATCATAAGTATCCACAATCATTTTCGGGTGATGACTGAACTATAGCTCCGAGAGATGACTAGTCTAGTCATCAACCGAAGACGATTGTAGATACTAACGATCGAAGCGTCGTGGTTTGAAATCTTTTTTTATTGTTTAATTTTTCGCTTATATTTATTTCAATTAATTTTCTTTTTTACTCTGTGACCATTTTCGTCTTTAACTTTGTTTACTTCATTCGTTATATCGTATTTCATTTTATCTTTTATTGCTTCATACAGTTGATATTTTCGCTATTCATTTTGATTTTATTTATTCTTTCAGGTATTTCAAACCAAATTAGTATCATATTATACAATGAAAGTCAACCACATTCAAACAAACGATGTGCAATACAGTTTTTTATGTGGTTTAAAGGCGTCGACTACGAGGTCATTGGTCTTCTACTATTAGTTTGTTATTTTTATCATTTTTATTGTTGTTTATATTTTCGAGTACAGCCCTGTAGCTTTCATAAATTTTATAATTTCATCCAGATTTTCACTATGATCTCTCAGACATTTCTTCAGAAAATTTTGTATTGTTGACATATTGGTTATCTTTTTCCTGAGAGCATGAATATGCTTATTANACGCAAAAAATTTAATTGAAATATAATGTTGAAAAAAATATATTATTTGAGACTCTTATAACTTACGAAGCTCATAGTATCATATCATCTTATTCCAAAAATATATTTTTAAGTTGTGATTCACCCAGTAGTAACAAATACGTTTTGGCAGAATTATCGCTGAGAAAAAAATTGAATGTGAAATTTTTACTCTGTTTCAAACTACAAAGTTTGCGTTATTCATTTTGAGATAATATAAATATTTACTCGCAAATTACCACAATACCTAAATCAGGAGATTCCTAAGTCGTGAAGCTGGTGTAAAATTAAAAAAATAGGTCGCCGAACACACGTTTATCACGTGTCAAATTTTATTTTGTTTTTACAAAGCGTATCAAAATTCTAGTGAGCAAGCCTATTATTGTCCACGTGTTTTGAATGTGCAAGGTTACTCATAACCACAGTTGCCAGTTGAATATATTTATCAGGAAATTGTCGCTAATTCATTGTTGGCCTATTTATTGGCCATTTCATCAGATACGTGATTTATAATGATTTTTTTCGAGTTCAACTTTAATAATAACTATAATCTGATTATTATGTTTTCCAGATTTGCTACAATGATTACCAAAAAATGATGAAGGTATCCGTTTTATCTCATTTTATTTTAATTTAACCACCAAAATCACATAATGTTCTTATCAAAAAAGAATATTTCTCAGAATTTACAAAAAAAAATAATTTAGACGATTTCTTAAAAATCTTTGTTTTTTATATAATTTGAAATCAGAAACTTTTCGAAAGGGATAGAATCATATACACTGTTTGAGCAACATGTATGTTTTGCGTAAATCATCAATTATTACATTATTCATTTATATAATAACTATTGTTGAAATTATTCTCGATGGATATAATAGAGATGGAACTGAAGCGTATAAGAGAAATCGTAGATGTATGAGAATGAATGCATCTGCACAATCTGCTCTAAATGCATCTTTCATGATTTATTCGTTGTAACAGAAGATGATTGTCTTTATCTAATTGATGGATTTAACTCTCATTATAAAAAAAAATCGACCACTCATAAATAATAGCATACAACAAGTTTTAAATCTAAGAGCCACCGGTAGACAGCTGTTTCAGCCTGCCCAGTACTGACTAAGCCCAATAGGCTGAAACAGCTGTCTACCGGTGGCTCTTAGATTGAAATCAATATGGGAATGATCAGAGATTTTTATGGAATTATTTTCCAGCAGCTTGACTGCATTAACCTTTCTCGATTTAATATCATTTCTAGAAACATGTGGATTTGTTTTCCGATGGCATTTCAGGTTAGCTTCCCAAATTTCTGCTACCGCAGTTGTCGGTTGATTGGTCNCTTCACCAGAATAATCACCTCTTGATTTCTAGATAATATAAAGACCTATCACATAAGGTAACAAAACACGTTTTTTTTTCAGAGAAGTTGATCACCTTCTCAGTGATGAGTGACGCCTCATTATTCATTTATTTATTTTTACAGGTCAACTCAGTCAGATTTTTATATCTTTATATCTCGTTCAAAAGTTCAGGGAGTCAACTTTTCACGACCACACTGTATTTTTCCAACACGAATTTTGGATAGGAGTATACACGATACAGGAGTATATTAATACTGAACTATAAAATCCGTACAATTACGTTACTGGGAAGTTATAAAAAATTACAATTTCATTCTAAACTAGAGATCCTTAAGTGAGAATGATCCTAAAACGGTCATTAATGTCGATGAAGATAATAAAGCAATAAATCAAAAAATCAGTGAAATGAGCAATTTGAAAACTTTGTACGAAATCAAAAAATATGCAAATACACACTTCGTCAAAAGTTTTGAACCGCTCATATATAATCTACTTTTGTATGTTTATTATGTTTTTCAACTATCTGGTGATCAAACGGAACACAAATATTAACGGATAACATATTGCTGATTTGTTACAATCATTTTTGTAATATTGGACAGTTCTACTGAATGTTCAGCACGGTAAATGGATATTTTTTTTTTTTGAAATAACACCAGGGCATGACATTTTTGCTTTCAGCAGAACTATAATTGTTGCCCTGCATGATGCTGAACATTTCAATCACCATATACATAGGATGTTAAACATTCTAAGATATCTATCGTATGAATAGTTCATAGATATGAGGAATTTGATACAGTGGCAAGAAATCAACGTTGTGAGCGACCGCGAGTATCACATGGAAGAGAGAAGAGAAGTGAAGATTGAACCAAATATTACCGATGTATTTGGTTCAATATGCCCGTAAAAATCGAAATGCTTTTCCACGAGAGGTTACTCTACGAGAAACAGTAATGCTGTGGGTGGTATAAAGTTCACTCGACGAAGAGTATCAATTCCTTTACGTGATAACATGACATTTTTTATCCATACGAATTAGGTGAGAATTCCATCTCATGGACGACAACGCCCGGCAAAATCGAGCAACAATGGTCCAAGAGGCACTGGAATAAGGGCAAATTACTCAACTAGACTGGCCACCTAACTCACCGGATCAGAATCCTATTGAAAACATGTGATATTTTGTTTCTAGAGCAGTTAAGAACCAAATTAACTCGCCCCAAAATGAAGAAGAGTTATTTGCAATAGCAGTAGAGAAACGGAGCATTATTGCTCAAGAAAATATCAATGCACAGTCGTGTCAATATGTGACTGAGAAGCCAAGTAGGTTATACCGACTATCAGTTGATGTTCAATCAGAGTGAACAAATGTTTTGTAAGTTTGAGTTCCTAACTAATTCTCGGGGTCACCTTTTTCTCAGTTTTTTTTTTCAAACGGAACAAACTGTTAACAAGGCTATACCAGAACAGAACTATGATAACTGATATTTCAGAAAATGATGGTTTGGCTATTAGATTTCTATCGGAAATGTATCTGTTTCTTGATATAAGTATGAAAAAGTCGTTAAATCGAAGAAATAACGATTTTTTTATTTATTGTGCTGAAAGAAACAGGTAACAAAATGAACTGAAACAATTTAAAAAACATTATTCCACAAGAGATATTCAAACAACGTTCTACAGGGTGTAACTAAATAAGTGTAAAACATTTAAATAGGAGATTAACCATCGAAAAAAAGATAGGATCTTTCATATAAAAAAAGTTCAT